CGAAAATAGACCGTTTTGTTGTATTGCGGCGTGTTCCCGTTCTAATGCCGCCGCAATCAAATGATGAATATCCAATTGTTAGCCGTCAAGGCGTTAAAACATTTATCAACAATGGAAAAAATGTTGTATCCGAATTCCGCGATAGTTTAGGTCAATTTAGCTGCTCGTATAATAATATTGTAAAAAACGCAATTATTTGTTATTTTGTGTGGGAATGTCGCACAAAATCGATTGTAAGGCGCATCTGATTGTAGATTGAAATATTGTTACTAGTAAAATAATTTCTTCTTATTACAAATATTGGTTACAAATTATTTTACAGTTGCCTCCGTTGTACATTGCTTTCTGGGTTGATGTGGATCCTTCCACTGCGGCTTTTACAGCTTCTCCTATTAATTTGGATACTCGTCCGTAGTGAGTCTTGATGATTCTGAGTTATTGGATCCGGCCTCGCTTACTGATGGCTATGTCAGCTGGGCCGCTAGGCTGATTACTTGGGTTTGTAGATCTCTATATAGAAGTTCGGATTTGATCTAGTCTTTCTTGTTGCTTAAAAGTAAAATGGAGTCTTGATTGCATATAAGCATTTTGAAAGATTGAACCCTTTGATAGATTGTGATGCTTGAAGGACTCTCTTATGTAGTCAAACAAATCATATGGATAAATATATCAATGCTAGATTTTGTTTACAAGATTGTTTTTTAATGGAGCTTTTTCATTTGTTGACAACACTAGGCATTAGGCAACAACATTAATTAAATGAACTAATAAACCAGATTATTATATAAAACAATTTGATAATCTTGATGCATAGTCAGATCATTCGACATGTGGGTTTGACAGTCAGCTTGAATCAATGTGGTTTTAAATTTTAATGGTTTAAAAAATCAGCATCTGCCAATTCAGATTTGTTCCTATGACTGAATTCAGACTTTGATGTAGGAGTTTCATAATAAGTTATGCTGCTATGGTTTCCCCTTACTGTCTGAAACATATACGAATATCAGATGTCAATTTAACATTTGCCAGTTGTTGCATCACCCCTGCAGAAAAAAACACAGCATTGATTAATTTTTTTTAAAGAATGTGTATATGCTAGGTTTTGGATGTAATGCCCATTCTTGTTCCTGATTTTGTTTTGCCTCCCATGTACTTTGGTGCCCCAGTATCTACAGAAACAGTTTCACTCAACAGTTCCAGTTTTGTTTCACTATTCTGTTCTATTTCATTTTTTAAAGTAGCATTACCTTTATGATTTACTTATCTATGCCACTGATGGGTGCTGAGCTTAGCCATATCAACACCCTCTCCTAATTATCTTGTTCAATGGACATCTTAATATTGAAAAACATTTTTTGGCTCAATGAAGAATAAGAACCCATGAAATCCTCTTGGTCTTGATTGGTTACATTTGTCATTTAGCATTTACAATCCCATGTCTATCCCACCTAATTTATGGGCAAAGGACAGTTGCCTAACCTAAGAAATCCTGAGTAATAAAACTAACCCGAAGGTTATATAAATAATTCACTGCCTCTGGTTTTTACAACTTGCACACATACTGAAAAGTCATTTTGTGAATTTAGGATGCATGAAAAATGAACTAGCAAAGAACTGAAAAGTATCAACTAGAAGTTAAAGATCATGCAAACAGAGGACCACACCATTACACTACCCCCTAGATGGCATCTAAGTGGCTCAAATTCAAAGGCATGTGCAATGGCCAAAACATGGAGCATGCAAGACAAGCTTTCAAAGCTTCAAAGAGGCATCCACGGCAAGCATACAAGCATGTTAAAGGGGTTAGCCAGACTGAATCAATCCCCCGGGCGAGAGGGGGTGCTCATAGCTGACCTTCCCCAATCGTACCCTAGCTCCCGAGCCGAGACAACTCCGGTGATGACGGACATGTGGCCTTCGGCACCGAGTCAGGGTTTCCTAAATTCCCCCATAAAAAAATATTTAGGTGGCGACTCTGTATCTGGCAAAGCAGTCCATGTTTGGCACTTCTTTTCTAAAAATCTGTTTTCTCAAAAACGATTTGCCAGATTTGGACTCTTTGGTTCAAGATTAAGAACCGTGACACAAATCGAGTCCGAATTGTGGCGAGGGCCCCACGCGGGCGCGTCTACAGTATGCTGTTAAACCTTGTACCCCCGCTTCCGGGGAAGACTCTGCTGAGCGTGGCCATTTTCTTTCATCCAAGTGGCCAGTGTTTTGCTTGGCTCATATCTTTTCACTACCATAGTATTGAGTCATTTTATTCCTTTGAGTGATACTGTTTCCTGTACTTGAATTGTCATAATGATTCTACTTCTCATGGCTGCACTTGCTATCCCTGCAAAGATGACATTATATCCCTCAAACCGGAGTAAGTTAGGAACACTTGGTCGACCAGTAGGGTCTTTGGACCAACTTATTCAAGCAGAAGGTGATATGGACAAATCGGAACCGTTGCTCACCCCATCTACATCAACAACAAATATTGGAAGTTTTCATGAGAGCAATAGTGTTTCGGAGGTGGATATGCTTCTAGCTGAGGGAGAGGGCGCAGTGAAGAAGAAGAGACGGCCCAAAAGAGGGGAAGATTTCATTTTCCGTGAAGCTATAGTGAAGGCTGATTTCTGGCTTCTTCTTTGTTTATTTCACCCGTGTTGGTTCGGGTGTTACTGTTCTCAACAACTTGGCTCAGATAGGAATAGCTCAAGGTGCAGAAGATACAACCGTCCTGTTATCTCTATTCAGCCTTTTCAATTTTGTGGGTCGGCTCGGTGGCGGCATTGTTTCCGAACATTTTGTCAGATGAGATACCCATTAGTCCTTGTTGATTAATTCCTATTTAATACAATCTCTTGGTAATTCCTATTTATTCCTTGTTGGTTTTTCCTATTTTACAGGTCAAAAACAATCCCTAGGACAATTTGGATGACATTCACACAAATCATAATGATCATTACGTACCTTTTCTTTGCTTCTGCTCTTGATGGTACACTCTATGTCACAACAGCAGTACTTGGAATCTGCTACGGCTTTCAGTTTTCCATAATGGTCCCAACCGCCTCCTAGCTTTTCGGATTAAAGCATTTTAGGATAATCTTCAATTTCATGTCGCTCGGGAATCCTCTCGGTGCTATCCTCTTCTCTGGTGTCCTTGCAGGGTTCGTACTTCTTGCTTGGGCCCAAATTGCTTTGGGCTTACCTTCATTGTTTTGGCCGCTGTGTGTGCCATAGGCACTGCCCTGAGCGTAGTTCTAACAAAGCGAATCAAGCCAGTTTACGAGATGCTTTATGCTGGGGGATCCTTCAGGCTGCCTCAGAGTTCAAATCATTGATGAGAGAAAAATGAAGTGTGAGAATGTAGGATATATATATATATATATATTTTGAAAATGCAATTAAATGGACTGCTTTTTTTTTTTTTTTTTTTTTTGCGTGTGTGTGTTGCTTCTTGAGCCTTGATATGTTGGTTCTTGAACTTCCATCTGATCATTGCACATGAAGTTTATAATTTGTGCAATATGATCCTTCTTTTTAATGTTAAAAAGAAGTTTTAGTAACATATCTATGTCAGATTTGAACAATCTAGCACTTGATATTATTCAACACTAGAAGTGGTGCCACACATATTGGGTGTGAAATCATCTGTTTCATTCCAATTCTTCTACTCATTGATTTTGACATGGCAATCTCTGATGACTATGAGACAGAATATATGACAGATGATATACATTCTATGCATTATGTGTGCAAAATGTAATTGCTCAGTGTTATAAATTGTTAATCTAGAATGGTTGATAGCAATGTTTTACAAATCGAACCGGTGAATGCACTGAAAAATTGGTCGAGTGGATGGATCATTGGTTTAATCGCGAGTAAATCGGAATCAAATCGTGATGTCATAAATAATTTTATAATATGTTTGTCAAAAAAAAAAATTAAGTTTAAGGCAAGAAAAAGTACATGTATAAAATATACAAACTAAAACTAACTTATAATAAAATTGTTTTAGCACTAATAGCGACAGATACGAATAGTTTTGCGGTTAGCATTTAAAGTACATTGTAAAAGGTTGGAGGTTCGAATCCTTCTACCATGAACAATGCTTTTAAATATTGCTGTCAACCCAACGGTTCAATAGACTAGCGGTTCAATCGAGTCACCGATTCAATTGGTTTAAATTGAGTTTTCAATACAAACGGTAATGTGGTATAATTCAGATCGAAAATTGGGCCGGTCAACTGGTTGGACTGGCTGATCCGATCCGATTTTCAAAACTATGGTTGATAGTTATGATTTTGCTTTTATAATTGAGCCAAATAAATAAATAAACTCCTAAAAATCATTAGCGTTACACATTTTCAATTTGGTGTTCATATTAACTTGTTCATAGATTATTATTAAAAACAGCATGATGCTAAAAAAAAGAAGTATAATTTGTCAAAGATGTCAACTTTTTAAATATATATATATATATTTTTAAATATAACAAAAATATATAGATGCAGTTTGTTTGGTTTCAATTTTATGAAAATTGAGTTTTTTATTTTTTGTATTTTTTTTTTTGTTTTTAGTTAATATTTTCAAAATTTTAATTAATTTTTTTTTTATATTTTTTCAAATGTACCTTACTTAGATGTATCTAAATAGTAAAATATTTGTGACAAAATATTTTTAAAAATTAATAAATACACAAAGATATAAAAAAATGTACTGAATTTTCGTATTTATTTTTGTATTTTTGGTATTTAGTAAATTTTTTTTTAAAAAAATTCACAAATATTATACTTTTTAAGTGTATTTATGTTAGATGTGTCTAAAAATTAAAAAAAAAATAGTTAAAAATATTTAAAAAATTCATTGAAAACAAAAAAAAATATGAAAAATAAAAAAGTAAAATTTTCTGAAAAATGTTTTATGGAAATCAAAACCAAACAAGCTGAGGTAAATTACACTTTGCACCTCTGCACTTTGCACCAAATTTTACTTTGATTTCTACACATGAAATCATGATAGCCAACCCCATGCATTTTTGGTCAAATTTCACTTTGGTCCCTATATATGAAATTATGACAGTCAACACCCTATATTTTTGGTCAAATCTCATTTTGATCCTTACACAAGTGCCAATGTCTCATTTCTGTTACTCAATTGTTTAAATCTTTAATAGAATCCAATCATGTGACAAGAATGTGACTGCGACATGAGAATAAGAGAGAAAAATCATCTACATTTTTCACCAGTACACACTTTGTCCCAAAATTTACATTAAATTATGACTATATTAAGCTAAAACAAAACGCAGATTGTGAACGATTAAGAATATGAATTAGGGTTTTGCATAAATTGGAATCACGAAACTCTGTTTGTCACAGTAACACAATCTTTTGTATATTGAACTTTCTTTCTCTTTGATTTCTTTGTCGCATTTTTTTTATTTCAAAAGTTCTATTTTCTTACCTCTTCATCCCAATTTTTAGCATTCGAACGTATATATATTATATTATATAACTGTCACGTGCTTATTGTGTAGAACAAAGTGTATTAATGAGAAATATGGATGATTTTCCTCTTTTACCCTAATTTCATAATCACATTTTTATCATATGATTGAATTTTATTAAATATTTAAAAATAAAGTAACAGAAAAGAGACATTGACACTTGTATAGGGATCAAAGTGAGATTGAGCAAAAGTGTAGGGGTTGATTGTCACGATTTCATATGTAGGGACCAAAGTGAGATTTGACCTGAAGTACAGGGGGTTAACTGGCAATTTGGGAAGTTGGTAAAAAGCAAACTTTTTGGCTTTTGGGCTTATTTACACAAAAAAGCTACAAAAAAGCCAAAAAAATTAGTTTTTTTTCCAACTTCTCAAAACACCATATGTAAGGACCAAAATGAGATTTAGTGGAAAGTGCAAGGGTGCAAATTGTAATTTACCCTATTTTTTTTTAAATGGTTCACTTCTAATGATATCACATTTTTATAACATATTTAACACATATTGATAATCCCAATAGTTTAATGTGCAAGGGCCGTCAAATATGTTATATCTACAGAAAATCACACCGATTAGACATGAATATCCACTTAATTAGATTATATTTGCGTCAACAATTTATTTTTAAAACCATGATATAGATCTGATGTTCAAGTGACTATCAATATCTAATCAATGTAATTTTTTCCAAGTATTAAGTATTAGATTAGACGATCCTTATACATTGAATGATTTGAATCATTAAAATAAATCCAAAATAAGCTCCAACACAGGCCAGCAAGATACTAGTCTGATTAGGTTTTCTCCCTTAAATATAATTTAAAATTGTGATAATTCTAATATATTTGTCTAAAGTGATGATGAAATTCCCTAACTAATACTTTTGTTTTCAATGATTTATTTTATTTCTTTAAAATTATTTTTTAACCTATCAAAAAAAAAAAAAATCATCTTAGCGTCATCCTTTGCCACAATTGGCTCCACTTAGCAAGTATTATGTGTCATCATTTTTATTTTTTTTTTGGGTGCGTGTGTTTTCCTATGACTCCATTAGCATAGCTATGTCCCATCCTTTGCCACAATTGGCTCTATTTGATAAGTAATTTTTTTCCCCCTTCTTTTGACTCAAAATCTGCCCTTAAAAGAACCGAAAAATTTGGAGATTAATTCTATCATCCACTAATAAAGGTTTAATTAAAGTTGCGACAAATTTCATATAGACTATCTCAAAAAATTATTTATGTGTAGAAGATTTTGAACTCTAAACTATAAAATAAGCACATTCCAGATCCTAAGTCCTGACTACTAGGTCAACCCATACTCTAAACAACTTATAACAAATTAAGCCGATCATTCATATACTCTTAACTGAGAAATCATGTGAGTTGATTCTTGTCAAATACTAAGTTGATTAATTTTCACCTATTATGGGGTTTGTCATTGCATTGAGTTGTTTATTTAATTTCATTATGACTCATTTTTGTGTTGGTTTTGGGCTTCTAGAATTAGAGTTCAATTTGATGTAATTCTCTTTACATTCGTAAATAATCTCTTACCAATCAATAATAAATAAATAAATAAATAAATAAATAAACTTCAATAGATATATGGGTTGGAATGCTGGTTAATTTGGAATCATGATTAATTGAATAAATAAATAAACTTCAATAGATATATGGGTTGGAATGCTGATTAATTTGGAATCATGATTAATTGAATAAATTTTGATTCCACAATAGTGGGCTAATTGAATCAATCTTACCACATTTTTTTTCCCCAGTAGTGAAAGTATTTGGGGCTTTGCTTAATTAGTTTTATAATACGTTTACTTTGTCATTATATCAAGTAATTATTTAGTACGAGTTTTAGGGGTGATTTTAACACCGAAGCACTTCATAATATTCAAACTAGTGACTTTTGTTCTTTGAAACACTCGTTATGGCTCATGGCTCAACTTACCGCTCAACTAATCTTTAGAAATTCAAAGGAGCCCGAGTTTGTCCTTGTAGAATTAATTTGTGTACATAAACACTTTCGTTTACTCACGACCCTCTCAAAATCAAACTTCATTTGAAATAAAATCATAAAACTTCGTAAAATTATGTTACGAGTGAGAAAACAAATTCATATCTCACTAATGTTGTACATAAGGTAAACAAAAAGCCATAGGAGACCACTCTTGTATATTCTTACTGGGAAGTTAGGAGGCCAGTCTTTGCCAAAGACAAAGTTTTGATTATTTTGTTGTATTATGTTTATTTAATATCATTATGGGCTCTTTTTTATGTTGGTGGTTAGTACTTGGATGGTTTTAGTTGTTGGACTATGATTGTTAGTTTGATATAATTCTCGCCACATAATTAAAAATATATTATTGGTTGACAAAAAAATAAAAATAAAAATAAAAAAATAAAATAAAATAAACAAACTATCTTTTACTAATGTTTTTATTCCTTTATACTTAAACGGATAATTTTGACATTATAAAAGTTAATAATCACTGTTATTTTTTCACCTAATCTCTCCAAAAAGTAAATTTTAAGAAAAACGAGTTTCATTTTATTTCTTTCAATTTCCTCTTATTTTTCTGCCCTTTAATAAGAAAAGTCCACTTCTTTTTTTTTTTTGGGTCACTAAATCACTCAATCGAAAAGGGCTGTGTTTTATAAATAAATAAAAAAAAAACGAAAAGGGCTGTGAGTTACAC